TGGTTGGTGACAGATGTCTCAAGAACCTGCTTGCTTGTTGGAAAGCAAGACATTGAAATCCCAACATAACAAAAGGCTTCGAAAAGTCGAAAACAATATAAGAAAATGAAAGGACATCGGATTGTACAACCGAAATAACAGGTTCCTGCTGACATGTCTGCTGCGAATCCTGTGGTCTCGGCAAGGCGATATTTTAAACATGCTCAGCAAACATGGAATGGCTTTGAACTGAATGCTGCTCGTAAACAACTTCTGGCATGGGCTAGAAAAGTTACACGACAACTACTCAGCATAGGTGAATTCGTTTGTCCTCTGAAAAAACAGAAGACATCTTGCCGCGCAATAACACTTACCCTGGGCGCCAATTCAATTTCCGTTTCGGATCCGCTCCAGACACAGCCTGTTCTGCGCGTCTTTGTGGCTGTTCAGCGAATGCACCTAGAGGCAGTGGCCCTTGGGCAGGTGGAACAGCGATGTGCTGCTTCAAGTCTGTTGGATCGTTGAAAGCATCGGAACAGGTGGTGCTACTACAAATGATTCCACTTCCTGGGTACCGACACTCGTGTTAGCGAAATTGCCGGCCATGTTCAGAAAGTCGTCCGCAAGCATGTAATAATTGACATCATCAAGGCCTAGGAATTAGACTAAGTGAGATCAATATACACCAGATTACAAACACAAGAAAATAAACACGATATTGGGGCCTACTAGTTTGCATTTGAACGGTCGGTTCGACAGACCGATTCTGTGGTTGCTGTTGATGCTTTTGTTTCAGGACGGGTGAAGAAGGCGGGTGTGGCTCAACCAAATCACCACTAACACAAACGGAACCTGACGGCACGTTGAATACTTCTTTCAATATTTCCTCAAGTTCTTCATCATCAAAGCTGTCCACCACATCCTCGTCCTCGCCATACTCATCCTCGTCACCAAGAGTATCATCTTCCAATAGATCCGTAGTTGTACCAGCGCTGGCATGAAAGGGCGACTCATTGGTCCACAGCTGTTGTCGACTGGTCGAACCCGTTATCGGAGAGGCGAATCTACTCCGAGAACTGGCATTCTTCGAGGACTGTGTGCTATCATCCCAAACATCAACCTGCAAATAAGCGCAATGTCAATGTAACTGGCTTCTTCAGGTATTCGGAAATCTCTGATGTAATCTCCTGCAATCCACCAAATGATGGCTTACGGTAAGACTGAACATGTTACGATTGAAGGAACAAAGCTAATGACAGCAGCAGCATCTGTGGATTCGTCGAGCCTTCAGAATTCGATCGGGCACTTTGCCAACTTTGCCAGATGCAGCAAAGCTGCTAATAATCATGACGTTGCCCACCAAATGTAGCACCTTTCGGGAGAGGCGATTAACTGAAGATGTCAAGCTTACCATCAAGAACAAAAATGGTGCTAAGTCAGTGGACTTCAATAGCACGCCTAACACAAATTTGCTTGATGCTGACAAATGAAAGAATTATCAAACAGCTAGTGATGAATCCAACTCTAACTAATGGCAACAATGCGGTGATTGCACGAAAAAGAATTTTCCCAGGACTAGTTATCAGAACATGACGTGTATAGGGGTGTTTCGCCAAGCATCATGTCGTCCGCTGGAGCAGGAGCAATGCCACCAAAGTCACGGCAGTCACCATTGCCAGTTGTGCATGATCAAACACCAATGGCTTTGGGCA